AAAAGTGCAGAGGCTTATCGATGATAAGTAGGTGTCAACCTTGTCAATAACACTGTGTTCATGGGTGCTTCCTTCCTCCACCGTCCACCCCCGCTCAGTGCCTTTCGCATTATTCAACAGCAAATCCTTGCATTAGCGTAAAAGAACAATTTTTCCGTCTTTTTTAAAGAGTAATAAATAAAATATCTTTTGCTAAAGGTCACTGGATTGCCTGAAACAAGTCACATTTATTAGCAAATAGTACACAGCCACTGTGGCAATAAAATTTGCGTTACCTCGTTTGACCTTGAACTGAGGGACAAAGTCTCGATTGCCTGATGCAGTGCGCGCATAATTCAAAAATCATGTCATACCCAATGCCTATCATGCCCGTAATGCCTTTTGTGACAATTTCAGAGGAATTTTAACATCTAATCTGGAAAAGGGGAAGATGGGGTGGGGGGGGGGGAAATGAAAGAAATTTTGACATACTTGTTAGCTGCCCTGGAGGGACGGTGAGTTATTCAATCTCAGCACAAACTCAGAACTTGTCACTATTAAAAAAGGAAAAAAAAAACAAACCAAAAGCATACTTACGCAACTTTTGTGAGTCACATTATACACTTAAATATAACAAGCATACTTTCCCATTGGATAGCCTAAAATTGGTTGTAAATAAGCCACATTTCTTTTTCTTTGATGAATGAGTAAAGTACTTCTCGTTACGCAGGCGAAGTGTCTATATAATACTCCTTCATTGGTATTATAAATTGAACAGTCTAAAAATTAATAAAAGCGAGCGAAAAAAAAACACTTTAATTGACAGATTTCCTTACAATAAAGAAGTTAAAATCAAGTTGGATATTTTTTTGGGAATGAAAGTGCAATGCAGAAAACGGATTCCATCTCGTGGTGAAAGACTCTCCCATTAGAGGGTTGACCCAGCTTTCCTAAAGTTCCTCTGGACTTGGGAGGAAGGGGTGATTTAAAAGGCATTCAATCCTTTCCCCCTTAAGGGTAAAGTGCTAACTTAGAATTTCATTACAAGCACCTTTAGTTCGACATCTGAGGGATTTTGTGCGAAAAAAGTGTAAGACATACGAGGTGTAGACCTGCGTGAGCCATTCATACTCAGGAAGGAGGTAGACTCATGTAACCACGACAAAACCTAACTTTAACACAATTGTCTGACAAATATATGACTGCGGGCAGTCAAAATGTGGCTTCCTTTGAGGGAAGAGGCGATTAAAAGCAAAGCCCACTGCATCGTTAAGATGGTGTCAGTGCTTTGGGACCTCCTTCTTTTCCCTCCCCCCTTCCACGTTCGAATTTTTAAACAAAAGCAGTCCACATCCATTCATGATTTCCATATTTGTCTGGTTTCATCTAGAACACAAACAACCATGTGATTCACAGCCTCCTCTATCTCCCCCTCACTCTCACTATTGCTCTCTCTCTCTCTCTGTCCGTGTGTGCGTGTGTGTGCCTCACTAAGTGACTCATCGGCGCAGTTTTTGTGCCGTGATGATCTGGTTCAACCACAATTATCATGTGCTGGTATGTAGTTCAAGGCAAACGGAGCGATGGCGGAAATACAAGGGAGGCAATTTCAATGCAGAGGAGTTTATGACAGCCCAATCATCAAAAACCGATTTAAAGCTACAAAATTTAAAACTCAATTTTGCATTGACCTCGATTTGTAAATAAGGTAGGAGATGATATGATTTGTTTTAACAGAGAGTATAATGACTTTTCACTAAAAAAGTTGTCGCTTCCTCTACTCGGATGTACATCGATTTCGTCTTATCTTGGACGGCATTCTCGAACCCACCGCCTTGTCAATCATCGTGTCGCCATGACGAAATGCAAGGTTTTCCTTGTAGGACCTTAAATAGGTGAATATCTGGGAAAATGCGAACACTGAGATGTAGTAGTATCCTCCACTTCAAATTGTGGCATGGCGTCTTCTTACGAATAAGTTTTGTAGCAGTGGAGAGCCCTTCTGCGTTGGATTTGGGCTCCCCTCCTACTAATTGACTAGATTGCCTCCTTGTTAAGTCTATTCCGTAAGTCTGCAAGTCATGACGAGCAGGGCAATCTCAAGCGTTATTAGTTGACCTACAGCAAAGGGAAGAATTAAAAAGAAAAGAAAAAAAATATTTCTTGCCGTCTACCACACACACCTACACCGATAAACAAAGACGCGGTCTTTTAGAAAATGATTTTGAGTGGTTCTTGTAAATGTATGGTAGCACAGTAGTGAATGCATTGTTTGGAAAAGAAAATGATGTGTTCGGTTGGCCAAAAGAGAAGAGCATGGGTCTTTGCACTTCATAAGTCGTGCAGTCAGTCAAATAAGTCAAGCATTCACACTGTCAATCAATCAAACAATCTGCTGGTCATGACGCACTTAAATAAATAGGAAACAAGTTGTCAGCTCTCGGAACTTATTTTAGTCATTTGTTAACACACGTGGTGAGAGCTAGCAGTCTAGTTTTTTACTGTCCCCATCAGTTCATAGTTCGACAACCGTATTTACATGGTGAGAAATAAAGGACCACTCTTTTAAACTATTTTTGTCTATGCTTATCCTTACTGTCTACTTTACCCCCCCCCCCCGAAATATCACAGGACGCATTTGTCAAGAAGCCTTGAATGTATAAACATCGGTTCAACAGACACTCGTCTGTTTCTGTGTGAGGACGTAAAACGAGACGTGTTATTGACGAGTGCAGTTGCTCTAGAATATTTCCACCTCCTGCTAGCTCAGTGAAACAATAGGTACTTTATATTCTGCCTCAAAAGTTGACAAAAAGTCGGCTTTTGAGGCTGAAAAAATGGGGGGAATTTCGAAACAATCCACTTTATTTATTCGTGACTTTTTTAAAAGATTGTTATTTGCAAATAGATAATAAATACTGTTTGAGTAGATCATCAGGTTATTCTGAAATTCATGTGTTATCAAGGTCATGATGTAGGTATTTGCATAATAAATAACCGGTGCGCCTAAATAAAGACCTCTACCTCACAGATTTGTTTACCTAAAAAATCGAGTTGGTATCGAAGATAGGCCTTCCCTAATCTGACCAAGGCGGTATACCTAGCATAGATTTTGTACCTTAGTGGCATTCCACCGTATCATTTTGTATCCCTGTCCCGTTTCTAAACTGGTCCAGTCATTAGGTAGGTGATACTGGTGATGCTACTAGCGCAGATGACTCATTGGCAAGTCGGACATGGCAGACCTGAGCAGTTACCCCTCTAAGGTGAGTCATCAAAGAGCGGGGTTTATGGGTGTCTAGATTTTCACCCCACTCGGCGGAGGGCATAAAATATGCCTCCACTAATATTTATGTGTCTCTCTCTGCTTCTGGAGCATAAAACTCAGCCAGTCAGCCTCTATCCCTCTCTTTTAGTGCATCAGCGACCGAAAATATTCTACCCGCCTAGAGATCTGTCGTTTTGCTTGCTAGAAGTCGTTCAGGAGGTGGCAGAAATTGGTGTTGAAAAGTTTTGCAATAGGGACATGTTAAGAGACGGTGATTGGATAACAATCGGAGTTGCTGAACCAGCCACGTGACTGATAAAGGACCGAAATTTGATTTCCCTCTCTCCTTCCTTCCCTCACATTTGTAAAGTCCCACAGTATCGCAATATGTGCTGACGTCGGCTCATCAGCCCTCCCAAGCCAGGGATCCGAAAACCGAGGTAGAGAGGAAAGAGAGAAGGAGACTATTTCATAAATAAATATTTGCAGAGAGTATTAATACCCATTTTACCGCAAAATTTCTACAAAAAGAAGATTTTGAAGCAAATTTGGTAAAAACTTTTCCGGTGTTGGATCACAAATTGTAAGAGAAGGGTAATGTTTTCAAAAAAAAAGGGTAGCTAGCTAATTTAATCGATTATAATAGAAACATAAGTAAAAAGACATCATTTTGGGTACAACAAACAATTTTTAGTTCTATGGAAAAAACTATACATTATTTTATTCGCATTTCATTTTCGACGATTCAAAATATGTCAATTAAAACTCGCCTAGAATTAATGCATATGTCTTAGAAATCTCCAATTTTTTGAAAAATGCAAATTTTTGTGGAAAAGAATATTTACTCACTTTTGGCTTTATTTCAAGGGGATAAGGAACTTGCAATTCCAGTAGAAACGTGCATTTTATCAGGAAAATACATCAGGCATAGAGTTACTGCCTTTACCACATCGCGTGAAGATGATTGGATCGGGAAAGAAAGGCCGCTGCGGATTTGTTTCCAATTGTCCCTCCGCTAAACTGGCTATGTGAGCTACTGTCGGCTACTAGGCACTAAGTTGGGACAACTCAGCAAATAAATCGCCCAACTGTAGACGGAGCCCCTGGCAATGACAGCTGGTTCACCGGGTACTGCGTGGGACGATTGTAAAGGCTTAAAGGTGTGGAAAATATGACAACTTTAGAATAGCAAAACTGGCAAAAATTGGGACATTTTAGTGTAATTTGAAAGAATGAATTATAGATCAAATTTTTGTGCTAAAAGGTGAAAAGTTTTTCAACGGAGAGAAAAGTACATTAACACGAATAAGGACA